TATATACAAGTCATAATGTCTGTATGTGTATATGTCATATATGTGTGTGTGTGTATATATATAACATATATTTGCGCCATCAATTTTTCATCCAAACACATGGATTTTGGGCAGTGAATACAATTCTGGTGTGCTCCTCTATTATGAAAATGGGAAAATGGTCCAAAGATACTTTAGCCCAGTATCATTCCAGGGACTCAGCATTCTCAAGATGGGTAAAGGTAGTTGCCTTAAAAGCTCAACCAGAGCTTCTACACACAGCCTGTTTCATTATAGCTAAACGCTTGATTCTGAATGTACTCTGGGCCTTTCTTTTAGTCCTGGCCTGCCTTACTGTTAGGAGGGTTGCTTATCTGTTGAGAGCTGGGCAAGTTTCTTTGCCCCCAACTATTACTCCAAATTCCCTCATTGTTGTTAAATTCCGTCAAGTCGGTCCGACCCTGTATAGGGTTTGAGGAGCAGATGGTGAGCTTGAACCGCCGACCTTGCATTTCAAATGGCTTTGCAGTCTGATGCATTAACCCACAGTGCCACACCAGGACTCCAAATTCCCTCATAGGGCTTTGCTTATATATAAGTGACCCAATAGTACTGGCTACAACAATTTAACTCACCTCTCACAGCAAAGACTACTTGAGTGGTACAAATGGTTAACGTGTTTGGCTGTTAAGCAAAAGTTGGTGGTTACAAATTCTCACCCCTATGTTCCACTCAGTTGTCCCCAAATTCATATATAGATTAAACATAGCCCCAATAGAAATCACAGAGGACTCTTTTTTTAAAATGGAAATTTGCAAGTTGATTTTAAAATTCATATGGAGATTCAAAGGACATGTTGTTGTTGTTAGGTGCCGTCGAGTCGGTACCGACTCATAGTGACCCTATGTACAACAGAACAAAACGCTGCCCAATCCTGGGCCAACCTCACTATTGTTGCCACACTTGAGCCCATTGATGTTGCCACTTGACCAATGCATCTCACTGGGGGTCTTCCTCTTTTTCTCTGACCCTCCACCTTACCAAACATGATGTCCTTCTCCAGCGACTGGACCCTTCTGACAGTATATCCTAAGTATGAGAGACAAAGTTTGGCCATCCTGGCCTCCAAGGAGCACTCTGGCTGCACTTCTTCCAACACAGATCTGTTGGTTCTTTTGGCAGCCCATGATACTTTCAAAATTCTCCTCCAACACCATAATTCAAATACATCAATTTTTCTACGGTCTTCCTTATTCACTGGCCAGCTTTTGCATGCACATGAGGTTATTGAAAATACCATGGCTTGGGTCAGGTGCACCTTAGTCCTCATTTTTTCTCTTCAACACTTTAGGTCTTGTGCAGCAGATTGCCTAATGCAATATGTCATTTGATATCTTGACTGCTGCTTCCATGAATGTTGATAGTTAATCCAAGAAGAATGAAATCCTTGACAACTTCAATAAATGTTTATTGGTTCCCCCCCCCCCAAAAAAAAAAAGTTGGTGGTTAGCAGCCACCCAGAAACTCCTTGGAAGGCCTGAGGTCTACTTCAAAAAAAATCAGCCAAGGAAAACCTTTTGGAGCACAGCTGTACTGACATGACACACCTGGGTTCATCAAGAGTTAGAGTTGACTTGTTTTTATGGTAAGAGTTTGGTCAAACAGTCTAAGAGAAATTTTGGAGGTGGGAAGAATTTGAAGATAGAGTGGGTCCACTCAAAAGGTGGGGTCCTGAAGAGCTCAAGGTCAGTCTTTTATCATGTGACTTTATAAAGTCAAAGCTCAGTGGTGTGGAGAAGGGCTGTGGGCTTCCAAAATGGCAACCAAGAGAATAAGTGACAAAGAGTAGGTGAGGGGAAGCCCAGCTTCCCCCCTTTGATATTTAGTTGTTGAGTGCCTTTAAGTCGGTTCTGACTCATAGTGACCCTGTTTAGGGTTTCTGAGGAGCGGCTGGTAAGGTTGAACTGCTGACTTTGTGGTTCAAATCAGCCTTGCAGTATAGTGCATTAACGCACAGCTCCACACCAGGACTAATTATCCCTGTTTTAAACAGCTCAGCAACCTTGTCTCAAGAAATACAGTATCAAAAAGCAAGATTTTGTTTCCACCAAAAATTTTGGATGCTCAGGTATTGATTGACTTAAAACTGTTGGGTCACTGAGACTTCCATCCCTGAACTTTTTTAAAAAATTTAAATCTCCATCCTCTAGCACCTGAATCCTCATCCCCCCCAACAAAAGAGGTCCCTTGTCAAACTCCTTCTTCTTTGAAGAAATACAACTGAGACCAAGTGAGAAGTAGCTACAGTTTAATACAAACCTGCACCAGAACACAATGTGTCGGGGTGTTTTGTTTTTAACCTCAAACGGGTGGCTAAAGCACAGGACCATGTGTCATCTTGGGGTTGACACAATCTTAGCACCATGACATTTACAGAGGAGTGAGGAAGTCACTTGGGTGCTGGAGGCTCATTCTGACCCCAGGCTGTGTCTGCTGCCTTGGCAGCTGGAGGGAGTTTGGGTTTCCATGTGGTTTTGTGGTTTCTGAGTTGGTATTGGAAAAACCCTCATCACAGCATTGGTTTGACAGAGATCTACTGTGGACTCCTAGCACTACACACACGCACACACACACGCACAGTAGTAGCACAATTTTCTGGTAACTTAACCCCACAAACCTAGAGAGCAGCTAAGGCAAGAACAACAGTATTTATTCAGCATGTACAAGACCAGTTTGAGAGCTGCATTCACTGCAACCAGAGACCCTTTTCATTCCAACCAGAAGTCAGTGTGATTTGTGATGGAGCTGGTTGGAGCTCTGTAAAGGGGCAAGGAGTGGATGATGGTGGCTGACCATTCATTTGGTTCCTTGAGCCTCATCTAGATTTTCCATTTGGAAGCTCCTGGGCAAAAAGGTAGGGTCTAGGTTAAGAATTGGGGGTGGATAAAGAAGGCCTACAATGGGTCACTCCAAGGTGTGGTCTTCTAGTGCCATGGACCATGTATCTCTCGGGTGGAGGCACTCAGAGAAGGTAAAGCTTTCCTAGGCCAAGTAGAGACACGGCTCAGTTGGCTTTTACCAGTGCTCTGCTCTTTGGCATCTGCCTGAGGTCCAGGATGCAGCAAGAGTTGAAAGGGGTAAGGATGCTGTGCATTGTGTCAGGGCTCAGTGTCTAGCTTCCCTGGCCCATTACCTACCTACTAGGCCCTAGGCTGCCACTGTCCATGAGCCTTTGGCTGTTTCTGCTTCCTGGGTTACCACCTCTGTCCTCTCAGCCCCTAAGTGAAGCACATGGGCATGCAGGTAGATGTGAGAATGTGGGTGCAGCTCAAACCAGATGGCAAGCCCCAAACATTTACCGAGTCCTGGCTTGAACAGAGAATATGTATTATTAGTTTGTTTACATCAAAGATGAGAAGAATAGATCTACTTGTGCAAAACAAGGCAGAATGTGCCTATTAAGGATGTAAATCTAGTTGGGTTCTACAATAGACATCACCTCACACTTCCTTTCTGCAATTGGGGTAGACAGCTAAGATTGTAAGGGGAGTCACGGACACTTCCGGATTCATAACATTTAAACTTTCTGGACCTTCCTCTTCTCAACTGTAAAATGGGGAGAAGACTACCAGCTCTGTTTGTAATGACAACCAAATGTGAGCTTGTATGTGGGAGTGCCTTGAAAACATGAAACCCTCGAGAAAAATATGCAGGATGTGATGAGCATCAACTCCAGAGGTGAGCTGCATGCAAGCCTGGGGTGCTCAAACCAAATGTGCAACATGAAGGCTTCACAAGGCAGGCTTGGGCTTGTGATCCCCCAGATCACTCTTCCGGGGATGGAAGATCACTTTTCCTCTCATTTCCCCACAGGAACCTCTGTGGAGCTGTGGAAGCAGAAGGACCCAACTGGATGAGATGGTGACTACAGACTGGTGAGGGAGTGGTGCCAGCCACAGGAGACCACAGGACCTATGCAACAAGGGGGTTCAACAGCTGAGTCCTGCTGGCCTGGATTCTCCTTCTCTGGCATCTTGCCAGCCCCTCTCCCACTCCCCCTTTCTTAGCAGATGTGGGGCCTCTTGCCAATCACACAGGAGGAGCGTCAGCAGGCAGCAGTCACAGGAAGCTGGGTGTGTGTGTGCATTAGTGCTGGGAGTGCCCAGGGCAGAGAAGGGAAAACCCATCCTGTTCCCCAACATTCTCCAGGGCCAGCATCCTAGGTGCCCTCTCAGAATGTACGGCAACTAGACCAGGAGGGGAAGGGAGATGAGGAGAGTGGAGGGGAAGAGGTAACGGGACAGGGCCTCTGGCAGCCTGGAGGACCCTAGATGGGGAGAAGAGAAGCCTGTAAGTCCGGCACTCCCCTCCCCACTGTCGCTGCCCTGGGGTTGTCTGGTTGATGTTAAGTGCAGCATCTCGTAAGGACCACATCTATTCCTGTTTCTATGCTATGCTAGTGACACGAAGCACCGTTTTTTTTTTTTTTTTTTTTTTTCCACACGATGCACAAACAAGTTAAACCAAACCATTGCGCAAACCAAACGTGCAAAACAAAATCATTTACACGCCCTTTACACCAGCCTTGCACCCGCCCAGCTTGCCCTTCTTGGCCTGTGACTCCCACTGGGCATGGGTGGGGAGAGGGAGAAGCTGGCAAAGGGCACAAGTGTCCCAACCACACCCACTCATGGCCATAGGTGCAGCAGGAAAAACTGGGTGTCCTGGGCAGGCTGGGAGCAAACATCCTAACTGACTTGGGAAATGTAACCCAGGCCAGAGGGGATGGGGAAGGGAGTCCTTGTCTTTGCAAACCCCTGGCTGCTAAAGTGCTCTGGTCGACTGGCCGGTCAGCCAGGGGCAGGGCACTAGAGCCTGGGCTCTCCCAAAGCCAGTGCATGAGGGGGTATGAGAGGAGGGGCTGGGCTAGGGTCTATGCATTGGGTTCTGTGCATAGTATGGGGTTCCTGGCTCCCAGAAAAGCCTGCTGAGGCCAAGGCAGGAAAAGACAACAGCAGGAGGAGCATATCTCAAAGTGCCTGTTAGGGTTGGCTCAAGCACAGTGAATCACACTTCAGACGTGGGAAGGGCTCCCGGGTCTGTGGGCCCCCTTAGGTGGTGATCAGCCCAGCCCAGCCTCTCCCGATGCTGTAGCTGCGGCCGAAGGCTGTGTGGGCTGATGGCAGCGGTGCATCCTCACTTGGGGGGCTGGTCAGTGCCTTTACCAAATGCCGCTTGACCTGCCTCCGGGGGGAGCAAGGATCCGTGCCGAAGCTCGCTTTGGAACATGGTCATCGATCTGAGAACCTGCAGGGAAGAAGCACAGAAGAGGTGAGTGCACATGCTCCCGCCTGCGTCATAATATCGTGGACACCACCCATTGGAGGCCCACTGTGTGCGGGGCTGAAAGAAACCCTTCATAAGTATTATCTAACCTAACCCGTACAGCAACTCGATCCCATTTTACAGATGAGGAAACTGAGGTTCAGTGAAGTTAAGACATTTTAATGTTGCAGTTTCTAAGTGGTAGAGACTGAACTTGAACCCAGTACTTCCTGCTTCAGAGCATACATTATTAACTGCCCCGCTATGCAACCTTCATGGCCTCCCAAGCCTGGGGTATGTGGTCTCTTGTGCTTGCTAAGTGGGCTTTTGACCATATGTCTCAGAAGGTGAGAAAGAAGGAAACGGAAAAACCACATCCCAAAAGTCTTATATCTTGAGCTCTCAAGACTGAGTTAGAAAAGGAGGTCCTGGTATTCCTGGGAGGCTAGTAGGACATTCTACAGCTGGTCCCACCTAGAACATACAAGGTTTGGGGCAGAGAGCAGGGGGAGAGCTGCTTGGTGTTGGCTTGTGTCTGAGAGGTGTTATGTCAAGCCTTGCCGCTGCCCAGAGACTCTGGAGGGAGCATGGCTTTGAAGACCTCATGGTTCTTGTGGAGCTGTCTGCTGTAGAAAGGGACAGGCTAAGGTAGCTGTGGGAATTATACCTCCTTGGACTTGGCAAGGTCAAGTGGACACTGACCAGACTGCCTCTGACCCTGAATGCCAAACCTGGTGACCCCTCACTGGTCTCCCTGCTGGTGGGAGCAGCAGTGGGCCCATGGTGGAGGTTCAGCTATCTCAGTAATGAGATCAGCTCTGAGATACAGTAGTGGAGAGAGAAGCCCCTCACCTCTTCAGCTCTAAGCTGCACCAGCACAAAGCCAGAGAAGCCTCAGCAGCCAGCAGGCCTCACTCCCTCACCAATTTCCAGAGCTCTTCATAGGCACCCCTTGGACTGGCCTCTCAGATCAGGATGGTTTGTGTCTGGGTGTCATCTTTCCCAGTAGATTCCATGCTCTCAGAGTGAGGACTAGAGTCTAGTCCCTCTTGCTGTTCCAGCTCCCACCCCAGACCTTATGAGCTGATGCTCAGGTTCCATCTGAGCTTGTCCCAAAACCAGTCAGCTAGCTGTACACTTGGGGAATTGGAAGACTTGGGTTCCCTACTTCTTTTAAATGGTGGTGGCAGTTTCCATCTGAAGGACCAGGGCATCTCAGAGCCCTGCTTGTTCTCCATTGAGGTCTTCGACTTAGAAGACAATGATGTCCCCCTCCTTTATGTATCTGAACTGCATCCCACTGACAATACTAAAGTCCTTGAGCATAGACAGCCATGGTTTAGAGGAGCCTAGAGCTCCACCTCCTCGTGTCGGTGGGGCAGCAGGTATAAGAGGTCCTGGTCTTAAACACTAGGACACTTCCCAGAAACCCCAAGACTCCACCGATGGATTGGGGCCAGGAAATGACCCAAGGGACAGAAAGGTAAAGAAAGGAGCTGGGAGTTACAAGTCAAAATAGAAATATTTTACTTAACCCTCTGAGGACCAAATTATTTTGTATTTTGAATTTTTTGTTGATAATGTGTATTTCCAGTAATGGAAAGCACATTGAAATCAAGGGGGAAAAAAAGTTGAGGTAACATGGACTTTGATATGATTATGTGGGACACATATGTCCCAAGTGGACTCTTGGTAGGGCTTCTGGGATGAGGCCCATTTTTTCCCAGATTCACATAGTTTACAGATCCCTGTCAGGTGATAGCATGTACAACTGGGATAGCAGCTTTTAAAGAAAACTGAGAGGTTGAAAATGTTAATGGGTGATACATGTCCCATGGGTCATGAAAGGGTTAAAGTTATATAGTACAATTCCTGATAGAATAGAGGGACAAAGGTAGGAATAACGTATAGAAAGGTCAGGGGAGAAGAGGGAGTAATGGAGTCAGTAAGTTCTTAGGAGAGGCTGACAAGCAGCAGGAAGGGAGACCAGGAGTTGGGGATGGGGCTGTGGTCCCATAGTCACAGACAGGGCTAGTCCTACTGAGCTAGGGCATCTTCTCCGGGCACCCCGTGTATAGGGCCCTCAAGATGTTTAGAGGTATAAAGATATCTCAACTTAGAAACCACGTGCAGAGCCGGAGGCTGGCCAAGATGTCTTCAAAAGGCTACATTCCAGAGACCAGGAGGGCTCCTGTTCTCTAATATTTGTGTCTCTGTAATTGGACCCCACACTCATTACTAGATGTTGACTAGGGAGGGAGGGAGAGGAGGAAAGGAGAAGCAGGGGTAAGTCCCACAACCTGGGGTGGTCTCTCCTCCTGGCCCTTCTGCCCTCCTCCCTCCACCCCACTGCCTCACTGTGGGGGATGTTGGGGTGGTCCTTGCTCTTACCAGAGAGGCTGAAGCTGGATTCATGAAGGTCCCTCATGCCCCCATGTCGGGTAACGGGCCGGGTAGGAGTGTCTGCGAGTGGCGTTCCCATCTCTTTTTTCCCAGGATGCACAACAACAGCTACATCCCCCAGGTAGGGAGTGCGGTCCACTCCCTTAACCTTTAAGGTCTAGTAAAAGATGGAAAAAAACAACACCATCAGAGCCAAGTGATTCGAATGTGGCCTCCAAGATGGCGGACAGGGTATTAGACAATGCCACTCTGCTCATGGCCTGTGCCAAAGCGTTCTTACACCTTGAGTCCAGGGCTGGAGAATTCTTGTGTGTATGTGTGCACATCCACTGGTTCCTCCCCAACATTGGGAAGCTCACCAAGGTAGCAGGTATATCTTTGAGGTATTCAATATTATAGTACCTCTCATAGAAAGCCATGTTATCCCTTCCTTTGTCAGGTTTTTGAGAGGCCATGATTATGGTCTTACAGCTTTGTGGGGACAAAAGCTAAATAAAACCAGTTTAGAGATGGAGTCCCCCAGTAACAATACAAAGGCTGTAGAGTTAAGAACCTATATTCTGAACCAGACTGCCTGAGTTCCAATCCCAGCTCTGTCACTTATAAACTGTGTGACCTTGTACAAGCTACCTAACTTCTCTCAATGCCTCAGTTTCCTTATTTGTAAAATTAGGAAAGTAGTCACTACATCATTGAGTTGTTATGGGATCAGTGAATTAAGAAATGCAACACTCTTTAAATTGCTCTGCTGTGTGGCAAGCAGTGAAAAGTGTCAGCTGCTCTTGTAAATGTAGTCATTTGCGGGTATACTTGGTTTCTTCAATCATATTTAAACAAGAGTCCTGTGGTGCAGTGGTTAAGGGTTCAGCTACTAACCAGAAGTTCAGTGGTTTGAACCCACTAGCTGCTCCTCCAGGTGAATGATATAGCAGTATACTTCTATAAATAGCATAGCCTTGGAAATCTTATGGAGGCAGTTCTACTCCATCCCATAAGGAATCAACTGGATGGCAATGGGTTGTTGTTGTTGTTAAGTGTTGTCAAGTTGGTTCTAACTCATAGTGACTCTGATTAGGGTTTCCAAGGAGCAGCAGGTTAGTCATATTAAAAACTGCTCTTCTGAGGAGGAAGAAGTGTGCTAGAGCTGTGCAGATGGTCTGAACCAGCAGATTTACAAGCCAGGTACCTGCCATATGTAGCCAGCAGATAATGGGTGATTTCTTAAAGGTTATTCAGTTGACACATTCCTCCCGGTTCTCTCACAACAGATCTGTAGATGGACTTCAATCCTCAGAACTGCAAAGTTGGCCTGAGCTGTTCTGATTTTCCCTAAGCAATGCAGGCTGGGGTCCAGATGGTGCTCACCCTTTTGGACTCATTTATGATTTTTGGCCAATGAGGTTTTTTGACATTTTCTTTTACTGCATACCTGCATTCTGTTATTTAAGTGCTATAATAGAAAACAGGAAGTCCTGGTATAGTGCTGTAGGATAAGTGCTCAACTTCAAGGTTGGTGGTTCAAACTCACCAGCTGCTCCTCAGAAACCCTACACAGGGTCGCTATGAGTAGGAACTGACTTGACATCACTTAACAACAACAAAAACAACAGAAGAGAACAGAGAATGTAATGGGCTTTTTCTTGAAGCCTCTGAGTTGGCATAACATGCCCTTTAGGTATAGGAACTCTGGGCTGACTGTGTATCCAATATATTAATTGGGATGCTCTTTCTGAATTCTTTCCCCTATCAACTTGCTTCCTTATTTTTTTCATTTTTGAAACAGGGAAGAGACTAACAGTCAACTGGGCCAATAAATAGCACTATGATAAATGCAGAAAAATTGAAGTTGTCAAATACTTCATTTTGCTTGGATCCATCATCAGTACTCATGGAAGCAGCAGTCAATGCAAACAATGTATTACATTAGGCAAATCTACTGCACAAGACTTCTTAAAAGTGTTCAAGAGCAAAGATGTCAGTTTCAGGACTAAGGTGTGCCTGACCCAATATAGGTTATTCTCAATAACCTAATATGCATGTGAAAATTGGGCAGTGAATAAGGAAGACTGTAGAAGAATTGATGCATTTGAGTTATTGTGTTGGAGAAGAATATTAAAAGCACCATGCCAGAAGAGCTAACAAATCTGTGTTGGAAGAAGTACAACAAGAATGCTCCTGAGAAGCCAGGATGCGAGACTTTACTTCTCATACTTCAGACATATAACAGGAGGGACCAGTCTCTGGAGAAGGACATCATGCTAGGTAAAGTGAAGGGTTAGTGAAAAAGAAGACCTCCAGTGAGATGGGTTACACAGGGGCAGCAGTAATGGGCTCAAATTTAACAACTATGAGGATGTTACTTCTCATACTTCAGACATATAACAGGAGGGACCAGTCTCTGGAGAAGGACATCATGCTAGGTAAAGTGAAGGGTTAGTGAAAAAGAAGACCTCCAGTGAGATGGGTTACACAGGGGCAGCAGTAATGGGCTCAAATTTAACAACTATGAGGATGTTGTAGGCAGTGTTTTGTTCTGTTGTATATAAGGTTGCTATGAGTCGAAAATGACTTGACGGGTACATAATAACAACAACAAAATGGACCAGATGCTATTCTAAGGACTTTCTATGTATTAACACATTTCATCCTTACACAACATGAGGGAAGTATTATTACTATCCCCATATACTGACCACCCCTTTTCTGTCAGTTTGCTGGGCTGAGGTGACTTGTGTGTTGCCATGATGTTGGGAGCTATGCCATTGGGATTTTAAATATCAGCAGGGTCATCCATGGTGGACAGGTTTCAGTGGAGCTTCTAGACGAAGACAAACTAAGAAGAGGCAGACACTCCTGAAAGTTTACCCCCTGAAAACCTTATGAATAGGAGCAGAACATGATACAGTGCTGGAAGATTAGCTCCTTATTTTGAAAGGTACTTAAAAATATGACTGGGGAAGAGCTGCCGTCTCAAAGTAGAGTTGACCTTAATGATATGTATGCAGCAAAGCTTTAGGGATCTTCATTTGTTGATAGGCCACAACTCAAAATAATAAGAAACAGCTGCAAACATCCATTAATAAATGGGAAAGCAATGTACAAATCATGAATCTAAGAGAATTGGAAGTCATCAAAAATGAAAGGAAATGAATGAAGAGAGATATCCTAGGCATTAGTGAGCTGAGATGGACTGGTATCAACTATTTTGAATTAGATAACCATATGGTTTACTATGCTGGGAATGACATATTGAAGAGGAATAACATTGCATTCATCATCAAAAAGAACATTTCAAGATCTGTCTTGACGTACAATACTGTCTGTGATAGGATAATATCTATATGTACACCTACAAGGAAGACCAGTCAATACCACTATTATTCAAATTAACTCACCAACCACTAGAGCCAGGAATGATGAAACTGATGAATTCTACCAACTTGTTCAACCTGAAATTGATCAAATATGCATGCAATAAAATGCATTGATAGTGTTGGTAATTGGAATGTAAAAGTTGCAAACAAAGAGGAAGGATCAGTAGTTGGGAAATATGGTCTTGGTGATAGAAATGATGCTGGAGATTGCATGATAGAATTTTGCAAGAAAAATGACTTCTTTATTGCAAGTATATTTTTAAAAAATAATATAAAAGCTTACTATAAACATACCACATCACCAAATGGAATACAGGAATCAAACTGACTATATCTGTGGGAAGAGATGATGAAGAAGCTCCATATCTCAGTCAAAACCAGCCAGGGCAGACTGTGGAATGGACCATTAAATGCTTATGTGCAACTTTAGACTGAAGTTAAAAAAAAATTAAAACAAATCTATAGGAGTCAAAATATGACTTTGAATATATACCACCTGAATTTAGGGACTATCTGAAGAATAGATTTGATGCATCAAACAGTTATAACCAAAGACCAGAAGAGTTTTGGGATGACATCAAGAATATCATACACAAAGAAACCAAGAGGTCATCAAAAAGGCAGGAAAAAAAGATTAAAAAAATGTCAGAAGAGACTCTGAAACTTGTTCTTGAACATAGAGAAGCTAAAATAAATGGAAGAAATGAGAAGTAAAAGAGCTGAACATAAAATTTCAAAGGACAGTTTGAGAATATAAAGTCAAGAATTATAATGAAATATACAAAGACCTGGAGTTAGAAGATCAAAAGGGAAGAGCATGCTCAGCATTTCTCAATGAAGAAAAAAATTCAACCCTTGAGTTACAATAGGATAGGCAATGGAATGCTAATCACAAGGTTGGCAGTTCAAACCCACCAGCCGATGCACTGGAGAAAGATGAGGCTTTCTGTTCTCATAATGATATAGAGCCTCGAAAACTCTATACAGGATAGCTATGAGTTGGAATAGACTTGATAGCAGTGAGTTTTGAATGAGATGGGCAAAATATTGAATGATGCAGGAAGCATTAAGATACAATGGCAGGAATACACAGTATCACCGGACCAAAAAGAATTGGTCGATGTTTCATCATTTCAAGAGGTACCATCAAGAATTGATGGTATTGAATGAAGAAGCTCAAACTGCACTGAAGGGATTGGTGAAAAGGGTCCAGGAATTGATAGAACACCAATTGTACAAACTGAAAATTTCAACAAATTGATGCAGCACTGGAGGCACTCACTTGTCTATGCCAAGAAATTTGGAAGACAGCTACCTGGCCAACTGATTGGAAGAGATTCATATTTGTGCCCATTCCAAAGAAAGGTGACCCAATGGGATGTGGAAGTCATCAAACAATATCATTAATATCATATTAGTATATCTTCAGTATATATTTGCTGAAGATCTTTAAAAAATGGTTGCAGCAGTACATTGAAAGAGAGCTGCCAGAAATTCAAGCTGGATTCAGAAGAGGAATATCATTGTTGATGTCAGATGGATCTTGGCTGAAAGCACATAACACCAGAAAGATGTTTACTTGTGCTTTATTGACTATGCAAAGACATTTGACTGTGTGAATCATAACAAACTGTAAATAATATTGCAAAGAATGGGTATTCAAGAACACTTAATTGTGCTCATGAGGAACCTGTACAAAGACCAAGAGGTAATCACTAGAACAGAACAAGGGGACACTGAAAAGTTTAAAATCAAGAAAGGTGTGCATCTTTCACCATACTTATTCAATCTGTATTCTGAGCAAAAATCTGAGAAACTGGACTCTGTGAAGAAGAACGTGGCATCGGGATTGGAGGAAGACTTAACAATATGTAGATGATACAACCTTGCTTGTTGGACGTGAATAGGACTTGGAGTACTTACTTATAAAGATCAGACTTCGACATAAAGAAAATGAAAATCCTCACAACTAGACCACTAAATAATAATAAACAGAAAAAAGACTGAAATTGTCAAAGGTTTCATTTTACTTAAACCCACAATCAATACTCAAGGAAGCAGATGTCAGGAAATGAAATGACATATTAGGCAAATTTGCTGCACACGATCTCTTTAAAGTGCTAAAAAGTAAAGATGTCATGTTGAGGATCAAGGTATACCTGACCCAAGCTAGGGTATTTTAAATCTCCTCATATATATGTGGAAGTTGGAAATGACTAAGCAAGATTATGTAGAATTTATGTATTTCAACATGGTATTGGCAGAAAATATTGAAAGTACTATAGACTGTCAAAAGGACAATTTTGTTTTGGAAGAAGTACAGTCAGAATGCTCCTTAGAAGAAGCAAGGATGGGAAGACTTTGCCTCATATACATTGGGTATGTTGTTAGAAGGACCAGTTCCTGGAAAAGGATATCCTGCTTGGCAAAGTAGAGCATCATCAAAAAAGAGGAAGACCCCAAACAAGATGGATAAACACAGGGGCTACAACAATTTTGAGGATGGTGCAGGACCAGGAAATATTTCATTCTGTTATACATAGGGTCGCTATGAGTCAGAACCAACTCTGTGGCACCTAATAACAACAATGTGTACAATAATGAAAACAGACTCACAGGAGTTAAGCAAGTTGCCCATAGTCACAACTGTTAAATAGTGGAACCAGGCTAAAGTCTATTTCTGTGGCCTGTTGGCTCAACACTATAGCATGCCTCATGACCCCTGGGTGTACAGAAACACGGTGATTCTAGTAACACTGATTCTAAGAATTAAGCAATCTTTAGGCTGTTTCTTAGTCTTAATAAAATATCTTTTCCATCCACCTGTAAGCTTTGGACTTTGCCAAACTTTGTATCTTGGATTTTGCTAAAGTACCTATTTCAAGTCCCTTTCTACATCAAAACCCATATTGTTGTCTAGAAGCTGTGAGCTCAGATACTGAAAGGAGGTGCTTTTACTCTACTTGCTCTGCTTTCGCTGGGAGGCAAGAACCATGACTGCCAGCAACTTTGGGGCTAGTATTGCCCAACTTCATCACTAGAGGAAGGGATTTCTTCTGTTGGTTCCTTTAGCACATTCTTTGGGAAGTGCTCTGTTGGGGCCCGCTTGGGTCACCTACACCCCCATAGGAGATAGAGAGGATTAGGTAGACGCAGCTCCACTACAACCCCATAGGAAAGAGATTTTTGCCCAAAGTAGGATTCTAATCCTAAAGTAGCAGCTTGTGGAGTAAACAAATGCTGACCACTACCCCCACTGGACAGACATTTGGATTCTTTAAACTAAAGGACAGTAAGGACCATGCAGCAAGAGGAGCTCAAGAGTCACAGATACATTCCCATTTCCCTCTGCACCTTCAGGGGCTCATGTTGTCCTGGGTTTGCCTGACCATTTACAACTCTATGTGGTAATTAAGATGGAGACCAACCCTAGCATTGCTGAATGCTAATGTTTCCCTTGCTCCATTACACACTCAACTCTCTTGCAGGTTGTGAAAATTGTGATTTTTGTGAGACAGCTTTGGCAGAGGGGTCTACTACTGTTTAACTTTAGGGTGAAATCAAGTCTTGGTCAGGGGTTTTGAGGGGGAAGGAAGGTCAATTTGTCCATCATTCCACTTGAAGGAGTCAGTCCTCAGGTCACCCCAGGGTTGAGGCTATGCAGGTCAGCAAGAGCAGAGTTTTGGCCACAGGGAGATGCAGCCACTCTGAAAACACTTGGGTGGAAACAAGGAGGGGAGGTCTGGGGAACTGAGAAAAGAAGCTGGACCTTTACATAAAGGAATAGAGAACTAAAATAAGACATTTGGACTGAAGAGGAGATGCCAAATGACTTTGATGGCAAATGTCCCAAGACCAAGATAGTGCCTAAAAGCCTTCCTGAGGTCGTCTTAAGCAGATTTCTGGAGCTCAGCAAAATGGTAGCTGAGTCTGTTTTCTGTAAGGTCTTCTAAATTTCTTGTCCCCTGATGGAAGCTGGAGCTGGCCAGGGTGGAGGGAACAGAATCTGGGAACAGGAAGCTGATGTTGCCCTGGGACATGTCTACAATGCTGGGGCTGAAGGGTGATGGAGTGGTCTTCTGAAAGGGACCTAGGAGATGCCTCTCATGAGCTGGTCTGGGGCCTGTCATTGTTGTTGTGTTCCATCAAGTTGGCTCCAACTCATAGTGACCCTATATAGGGTTTCCAAGGTGTGGCTACTGGGTTTGAACCATTGGACTTGTGGTTAGCAGTCTAGTGTTTATCCTAAATCACCACACCAGGATTCTTAGGCCTGTTGTTGTTAGGTGCTGTCGAGTCAGTTCCAATTCACAGTGACTGTATGCACAACAGAACGGACCACTGCCCGGTCCTGTGTCATCTTTATTACATGTGTGTAATAAACATACAGAATACTTTCCTGGATACACACGTACTTACAGACAAGCAGCTGACTAACAAATCCAGATCAAGGCCATTTTCCTGACTCACTCCGAAGCTTTCACTGACCTTATCGCTAGAACACATATGAAGCACTTGCTGTGTACAGAGCACCAGGATGGGAGGCTGTATCGGGGAAGGAACTAAGAAACAGGATGATTATCTCTTAGGTGGGTCATGATTAAAACAGTGGAGTCCGGGTAGGACTGTTAGGCCCAACGTGGCTCCTAGGCCCTAAGTCACGATACATTTAAAATCCTCACCCATTTATAGTCAGCATGAGCATTTGGAAGTCATAATGATGTTCTTACACCATGGGAAAAGAAGAGAGAGAAAATGATGCTTTCAGCTCTCTGTCAGATTTGTTCTTTTCTGAAGATTTTGCAACTCCACCCAGAGGCTAGGACTGATGTTCTCAGCACTGTGGGTTGTCACTAAGGATTCAGGCCAGATTCTAGGTCTGCTCTCAGAGATAAAGTTGCCCAGTCAGTCCCCAAAACAACTAGAAATGTTGAGCTTTCCCTTGCTTGAGTGTGGGAATCATTTACTTACCCATCAGAGAATGGGGATCCCCTGAGATGAGATGGAACCTAAGGTGGAGTGAGCACACAGGGTTTTACGTGATCCCAAGTAAGACCTCAGGCTCACCCTCACACTGCCATGAACTACTGTAGACTTAACCATGCCAGTGCTGTGGGGCTCAGACTCAGCAAAGTTCACCCAGTCTACTGTGAGTCGGAACCTACTCAACAGCACTTAACAACAACAACTGTAGTCACAGAGTGCTCAGGGAAACAGCAATACCAGGGCAAATAGGATAGTCCAGATTCAAGACAAGAATTGTGGGCCCTGAGGCAGCGGGAGAATTCTCCTAGAGACCAGATGTTGCAAACAGCTGGAAGCATCCCATTGTATTCCCCCAGTTTCAAGAATTTCATTGAAATTTTTCCAAATGAATTTTATTTAGTTGGAGGTCTTCTTTTACTACTATTTCCATGGTTTCCAAGGAAGTTGCGGCTGGATGAACACAGGCTGAAACCATTCCAGGCAATAGGATTGTGTGGGGCAACAGAGAGAAAGCATCTTTGAGATTGAAAAGTCATAGAAGTTGTCCCCAACAGAGGGCTTCACCCACTTCGCACATATCTTTCTGACCCTCCCATCTTACCTTCTCTCTCTGGACCAGCTTCTTGTAGACGGTGTCTGGGAAGGACCTCAGGGGACAGAACTTGCCAGTGCCCTCTGCACACATGAAGACACCATTCTCGTATACGACACGTCCCCGGCTGATGGTGACCAGCGGTACTCCGTGGCAGCGCATGTTCTCATACAGGTTGAAGTCTCCTCCCTGCACTTGGGTGCTGGCTGAGATAGTCCTGAGAGTGAGGGAGGGGGGAAGAGAGAAAGTGTTCTGAGAAGAGGTAAAGGTGTCCCTGATCTCCTAGGGTGCTCATGGGAAGGGATCATCATGCCTTTGGGCCTCTCCACCACCAGTCACCTGTTACCAGTAGTGAGGACCATTAGGTAGCACAGCAGAAACCAAAACCAAACCAAACCAGTTGCCCTTAAGTCAGTTACAATTCATGGTGACCTTCTATGTGTCAGAATAGAACTGTGCTCCATAGAGTTTTCAGTGGCTAATTTTTCAGAAGTTCATTGGTAAGATTATTTTCTGAATGTCTCTGGGTGGGCTCGAATTGCCAACCTTTTGGTAAGTAGCCAAAAGTGTTAACCATTTGTACCTAGGGGCACAGAGCAGGGTTTCTCAAACATCTTAGTGGAGAAGACACCAAAGCTGTCTTGGGAATGAGGGTGGGTGGTGGTGAGCTTTCTTTGCAGTCCAACTTTTCATCTCTAACATCCCAGCATATTTTGGTCTATTTAGTTCACTATGATATTTTCACCACCTAGAAAAGTGCCAGGCTAACTAGAGCATTAACCAAATATGTGTTGACTAAATGAAATTTATCTTAACAATAAAAGAGATCCCCATCTTTTCTGCACAAGCCTAAGTTAAAACGATGCTATACAAAGATTAGCTCCTTGGCTCACCATGCTGATCATGCCCAACACACTTCATTTATTTACCGTTGTTGTTAAGTGCCGCTGAGTCATTTCTGACTCATTTTGACCCTATATAAGGTTTCCAGGAGCGGCTGGTGGATTTGAACTGTTGATCTTGTGGTTAGCAGTCCAGGGATTATCTTACAGAGCCATACCAGGAGGCTGTCAGGTACTGACAATTACAGAAGCTGAGAACTTGTGGAAAAGACTGGACCTGGGGGTCAGGACAGCTGTCTGGTTCAGTCTCTCATTAGCTACATAATGTGGGAGTTCCTGTGTTCTCTAGGTTTTAGTTTCTTTAGTAGTAAAATGGATATAAATAAAAAGCCCAGAGTGAAAATAAGAGACAAAAAAAGATGTGAAACATCTCTGAAAACTGTGAAGGGCTGTGCAGGTGTGACTCCCCTGGAGTAGGTCTCAAGTCTGTCTGGCCATTGTTGCATTCCTAGTACCTGGCACATGGCAAGCACTCACATATGTGCTGAACTGACCCCAAGGCCATGCTTATCTGAGCTATGAGTAGTGTAAACATTATATATGCCTGTGGAATCTAGGAATGCAAGTTCCTTCAAGTCCCTCTAGCCCTGGAGACTAGCAGTAAATTTTACTTTGTGGCTTCTGGGTCCCACACCACCACGTCGGCATCGGCTCCAGGGATGATGCGGCCCTTGCGAGGATACAGGTTGAGAATCTTAGCAGCGTTGGAACTGGTAACAGCCACAAAACGGTTTTCATCCATCTTTCCTCCAACCTAAAATAGGACAAAAGTGTCAAGTCAGCCAGGCCCCAGGTATGTGCTTTAAACCCCAGGTTACCTTGACCTTGGCTGCTGGTGGGCTTTTAACTCAGTTACTGTAGGAGTGCTAAGGAGGACAATGCTCTGGGAAGCCTCTCAGATGCACCAATGTATCTGGCTTAGTTCTATGGGATTACTTATTCCTTTCTCCTTTGCATCAGCCTACCTGGTGCAAATTTACCTTCTCTTTGCAAAACCAGCTCTACTTGTGTCCACTATGGATGAATCAGGAGTTACCCCACTTCACCTATGAAGGATTATATACCTATGCTCTGAAAAAGCATCCTATTACTCCAGTGAGAGTAAGGGACTCTCTTTAAAGGAGAGTTCCTGAGCTATCCCTGGGCCTTCCCTGAGCTCATAGACTTCAAAACTCTTCGGGGCTTACACTCTATGCTACATCTAGTCTGTGGCAGGTAGGACCAAATATATTTGTTCTTCATGGCAGAACAGGTGGGATTCAAATGAAACCTCAGTCTCTGATTTTTTGAAAAGCAGTTACACAAACTATAGCAAGAGCCTTAAAAATGTTTATACTGTTGTACTCAGGAATCTACTTCTAGGAATCAGCCCTAAGGAAATAATCAGAAATGCTGACATATATTCATGAACAAAGAGGTTCTCTGTGGTATTCTTTGTAAATGCAAACATTTGTTGAGTGAGTTGTTATTAAGTGTTGGTTAGTCAATTCCAACTCATAGAGACCCTGTATAGGCTTTAAATCTTTGCAGGAGACGAAAGCTTCATTATCTCTCGGATAGGCTGGTGAGCTTGAACCACGGGTCCTGTGGTTGCAATCCAGTGCTTATCATATGGAGCCATTGTGCTCCCAAACATTTGACTATAGCTCCAATTATCAGGGAATAATTATGTAAAGTATGGCACTTCTATTGGAGGAAATATTACATAGCCATTAAAAAAGATTTTTTTTAAAAGACTCTTTACTGATTCAGGGAGATACTAAAGATATATTGTTAAATGAAAAAAACAAAAAAAACAAAAAAACTTAATCTAGTTAATAATATATAGTACAAGCCTAGAAAGAGATCTAGAAATATACAAAAATGCTAAGAGTGATTATTCTAGTGTATGAAATTATATGGATTTTTTTCCCTTTTGTTGTTGTTAAGTGCCATCAATTCATTTAGACTAAATCAACCTTGCATAGTGTTTCTAAGAAGTCGCTGGTGGGTTTGAACTGCCAATCTTTCTGTTAGCAGTCTCATGTTTATCCTACAGTACCATATCAGAACTCATATACTGCTTGTGGTTTCCAAATGTCTACCATATATCTTATTATCTTTTCTAACCAGGAAAAAAAACAGAGAGATAAGGGTATCTTTTAGTTTTGTTTTTGAGTGACGCAAGAAGCTGTGGTTGAGTCAGCCCATCTAAGAACTTTCTGGAAGAGGATTCCTGGGAGTAAAACTCTTCCTGGGGCTAGAGGGGAGGGGTCCAGAAAACATACCACTCCTCTCTCCCAGATGACGCTCATGCGGTCCTGCACGCCACTCACTCCATGCGGGATCTTGGTGAAATCCTCCTTGCCCATCGCTTTCTGCTTTGTGGTGAACGGCCGGTGATCTGAGGCTACAATGTTCAGAGTATCACTGGGCAGAGAGAAGAAGCGACAGGTAAGGGAGAGGAAGCAAGGGTACCAGAAGGTGTGGTACACGTTTGGAAAATTCCCTTGGTAGGGAACCAGGCAAAGCAGATTCCAGTCTTGGCTCTCTGCCACTTAGTAGCTATATGATCCCTAATGAATTACTTCATCTGAGTGAACGTCACTCAATTCATTCACCTATAGAATGGTAATATGTGCAGAGTGTAGTAGTTCCTTGTCACTAACTGCACTACTAAAGGGGCCCACCAAGATGGACAAGTTCTACCTCTATTGAATACTGTGTAGTAAGAATTAGTATGAATCCAGTGGCCATCTGGAATTGGACCCAGGCTTCACCTTCCTACATATCTCAATGATTTTTATCACCAGCCACTCCTGGGGCACTTCCTCTGTCATCCTAATCACCCAGACTTAGGTCAGACTTCATCTGTGGTTACCAGGTACTAGGTCAACAGGTACCACAGGCTCAGAAGTCTGCACAACTTCCTGCACTGCAGCCCAGTCAGCCCCCTCTCGCCATAGTCCCCTGGGCTAGGTCACAAATGAGAAGGGTTGTCCTTCAACTTCAATTGCCTGTGTAGCCTTCCTCTGCCACCCAGCTATCCAGACCCGGGTCTTCATAAATCAACTGCATTCACAGCCTCTCTCTGAATTAACTACACAGCCTCTCTCTGAACTAACCATTCTGAGCTAAGTAAGAGTCCCGTGGTCCCTTGAGAGTTAGGTGATTCTTTTTAATCGCTTACAGAATTCACGTAGAACATTACCTATAGTTGTTAAGTACTGTTGAGTTGATTCCAACTCATAGTGACTCTGTATAGGGTTTCCGAAGAGTAGCTGGTAAGTTTAAACCCCCATTCTTGTTCAAACTGACCTTGTGGTTCAGTGCCACACCACTTAGTTACCCATTTATTATACCCAGAAAGGACCCAAGAGATACATCAAGCAGCTTCCACTGTCTTCAGGGATGGTCCACACCCTCTTGCATACATGGATGTTTCCACCAATCCAGAAAGCCTCAAGAGAAAGCTCCAAGGACCAGGGTTCCATAGTTCCACAGTTGGGGGAAATGCACAGGCATGACTCAAGGAATATGTATAATTAGCTTATCATGGCTCCCCCTTTCTGTTGTCATGTTGGGATTGAGGGTGTCTCCCAACTTATTTGCATATATTTAAATTCTGTCTGGCTGTTTTGGGAAACAAAGACAGCTAGGATTACTGGGGAATTCCCAGGGATATTTTCAGAAAACAGAGACAAAAGGCCAAATCAAATGTCTTGTCCCACATAAGTATAGCCATAGGAGACATCAAGGAGAGACTTTGGGGATTTTAAAAGTGGAGAAGTGGGCAAAGAAACTAAAGTGAAATGATGGAGGTGGATTTACTATCATAGGTAAATTTTCCCTAACCCATCCACCTTCTCCTCAACCCCTTATTCCTTCCCACCCTCTCCAGCACCTGAGTACACACACTGCCAGTCCCTGCTGACAATAGGAATGTGCTTGGTAAAATGTTGACAAGTTCAATGTTTAACTTTGCTAAACAATTCAGAGCCACATCTTCCTTGGATATGGAGGCTCTAAGTCCTGGTGGGGTGCTTTGGGCTAATGCACTGGACTGCAAGGTTAGTTTGAACTGCAAGGTTGCCAGCTCAAGCTCACTAGCTGCTCCTAGGAAACCCTATACAAGGTCACTCTGAGTCAGAAATGACTCGAAGGCACTTAACAGCAACAAGTCCTGGTATAACTCTGTAGGATAAGCACTAGACTACAGAGTCACTATTATGAGTCAGAACCAACTTGATGGCATTTAACAATGAATGACCCAAAAGAGGAAAGGAGGGAAAAGACAAGAAAATTCTGACTTAAAGACCAACAGTCATATGCAAATTGATAAGTTTATTACCATTACTTCCCAGGACACCATCTTCCTGACCTTTATGAAGTCTGTACTCCATACAAGCCTGTGTGTGGGTAAAGAATGCATGGCTGGGCTCTTAAAGGGCTCCCTGGTCACTAGGAAATCAGAGGAGAGGCTTACAACAGAGAGTGTACATGGTGGTAAACCCATTGAGGGAGGCAGGCAGCGGGCCATGCTCAGACATCACAGTAGGCCGAGGGCTCAGAGGCATGAAGGGCAGAGGGACGAAGATATTCCCATGTATAGACCAGGACAGACTCTGGAGGAAATGTGGAGGGTCATGTCTGGAGTAGGAGGGTCATCTGGAAGAGGGCAACTAATGGGAACTCTCAGAGGGTCAGGTGAAGGGTCCACTCAGTAGAATCCTGAGAGTTAGGTATTGCTGTTGTATGCCATTTCATAGTTCCAACTCATAGGAACCCTGTATAGGGTTTCTGAGAGCAGCTGGTAGGTTTGAACTGCCAACCTTTTGACAACTAGTCCAGTGCTTACCCTACAGTGACACACCATGGCTCGAGAGTTAGGTAAGGAAATCTAATATTACTTTGTTGCTGTTAAGTGCCATGAGTCAGTTTTGACTCAGAACTACCTTCTACAAGGTTTCAGAGCAGCAGCTAGTGAGTTTGAACCATTGACCTTGTAGTTCAAACTGACCTTGTGGTCCAGTGCTTATCCTACAACGCCACACCACGAGGCACCAAAGGCATATGGATGCCTTCATGCCATCTAAGATGCCCACTTCAGATGAGGAATCTGAGAGTGGAGGGCATTATTTGACTTGGTGAGGAGGTAGATTCTGAAGGTTCTTAGAGGACACATAGGGCTATGGCTCAATGATTGCAGTTCTTGCCAAATGACCTGGCAAAATCCATAGTAAGATGACTTAGCTCTTCTGTGGCAAGGCTGAAATTTGCTTGGGCCAGATTGACTCTTTTGCGCCCTCTTAGAGGATCTTTCTAATCCACAAAACATGGAATTACTCTAGAGTCCCCAAGGATTCCCCACTTTCTTCAGACCCACAGAACCCGTCAGAGATGAATGGAGTTTTCAAAGCTTTCACCATCTCCTCAGGATCATCCTGATAGCTGGGAAGGGATTAGATCAGAAGATGTGTCCAAGGGTAGAATTAGACTGGTCAAGGATCCCAGGGGAAACCTGGCCCAACTCCCATTTGTGAATTAACAAATCTTACTGAGCAACAAATTTTCTACAAAGGCCTATACAAGTAGGTGCCCATGAAGTGAGTGCCCAATGAACCTGGTCACATTCTGATAGGGCTCTGGCCTTCCACAGGAAAAGCCCATCCAAACTCTTTAAAGTTTGAAAAAATGACTGACTCTATCAAGTACTTTAAAATTTAACATGTTCAAATTAAAAAAAAAAAAAAATTCTGACCCATTTTTGAAGTCAGAATCTATACAAAGATCAAATACTTTTTACTCTGATAAATCCTAAGACGTTACATCATATGATAGGTCTGGGTTTTCTTTCAAGCTCTGTGTCTCAAAGAAATGATAACCAAAAATGTGCCATAAGAGCAAACTCATAGCAATCATAAATTCGAATCATTTAAATGGTAAAATGATGCTCTAAATCCTATAAGACAGCACCCATTTATAACAAGCACTGATTGAAAACAGGGGTTCAAAGTATTCTCATAACATATGAAATCACGATTCTATTTAAATAGAATTTATTTAAATTACTTAAATGAATTTGTCAAAATAGACTAGATATAAAACCTTAAATTATAATTATTTAATTAATAATACTCCATCTCTTCTCTGCCCTCCACTTCCATTTGAATTTGTGAGTGTTTGGGGACTAGAATTTATGTGGGTGGGACTCCTTACCCAGGAATTTATTATCTTTTTATTCTTTCAATAAGTTTGCCTGTAGCAAACTGAGGTCTTTCAAAAGATTCTTTGACCTTGGCACCAAGTCCAAATTATCATAGCGGGTCTTGGATATTTGCTTTGTTGTGTTGACAATGATGAAAATGAGGCTGGTTTTTCCCAGTGAAAACCATTTTCAAAAGTAAGAGCTGATCTCAAATGTCTTTCATCCTCTCTTATCCTTTCAATTCATTTCAAGCTGTAGGAACTGCTGTTGCTTGATACCAAGTTGAAGCTACAGGACAGAATCTAATTGCTGCCACTGTGCCATAGCCTATAGTGCCGCTCAACGAAGACTATCTTCGCCTTGAGATCCTATCAACTGTATCCCACTTATATTTGAAAAACCACTCCTTCCCTACACTTACCTCTTTGGGTTGTGAACAGAATAGTATGCAGAGTGGGACAATCAGGACTGAAAGTTAAGGGTGGTGGTAGTGTGTCGTGGAGTCGATTCCGACTCAGTGACCCTGCATACGGTTTCCAAGTCTGTAAATCTTTATGGAAGCAGAAAGCCTCATCTTTCTCCCATGGAATGGCTGGTAGTTTCGAACAGCTGACGTGAGATTAGCAGCCCAATTAGTAACCACTACGCTAGGTAGGTATACTCCTGCCCACCCCCCACCCCCAGGTCTATAAAAGCAGAAGATGCAGGAGGAAGACCAAGGCGTGGGCAGAGTGAAGGGTTCTGTAGTCTCTCCCTCCTCTCCCTCCCTCATGCGGATGAGTGTAGCTTCCTTTCCTCCACCTCCCCAGTTACCCAAAGCCAGGGGAGAGCACACTTCAAGAGATTCTCTTGTGGAGAACAGAGCAGAGGTTCACAGTTGGGAAGACTGGTGGACCTGCCTCTGAGCCTGTGTGAGCGTCAGAATGAGGAGAACTGGTAGGGTGGGGGCAGCCTGCTCTCCCTCCACAGCAAAAATATGGGAATTTCCTCTGGGTCCTGGGAAGTGGCAGGGCTTAAACTGCTATGCTAAGGTCCATGAGGGTATTTTAAGAGCTACAAGTTGGGAAGGTGCAGGTAGAAGAGGTCAAGCTAGAATCGTCTCCCCTGAACATGTGCCCTACATAGGGAGGGCCCCAGAGCTCAGTCCCTTTTAGCCTGAAAAGAAGGGTAACTTAACGAAGGGATACAGATGCATGTTTGGGTGTGGAGAAGAGCCCTTTCCTCCTGACCCTGCCACTTTTTCAAAAATCTTTCCATCCTATGTGCCAGCTGGGGATGGGGAGAAGACTGTTTTCTAAAGTGGCCTGGGCTTTAATAACCAATAGTGATAGGAAAGCAATGCTCTCAACCCAAAATGTCACCAGGAGAAAGAAGCAGCAAGTGATTATTAGGATGAAGCAAAACATTTTCATTATTTGTGCTCCACTGAATTCAGGTTGTTCACTACACTCTTTTCTTTAGATTAGATCCAAATGGGGTAAAGAGGATGTTACAAAAACAGGAGCTAGAGAAATGGAGAAGGAGAACATTTAGAAAAAAGGGGAAGGAAATGTAGGAGAAAGCCACAGGAGAGAGGTGCACACAAGGTGAGAGCAACACAATGCAGAAAATGACAAGAGGAAAAGGTGAAAGAAAAAACAGTCAAAGACAGAAAGATCTACAGATATTCTAGGATAAGCCAGATGTCACATCCTACTGCTCCCCAGTCCGCTTTAGAATCAGACATCAATGTCCTTTGATATTCGGAATCCCCACTGTTCATACTCTTATATATGCTATTTATCCTTCTACCCTCAGAAGCTTCTCACTGCAAAATAAATGGCCATCAAAGTATAATAGGATGGAAATCATTTGATAGGCTCTGGAGAAGGTAACAAAAGCAAAACTCTACAAACACAATGAAACTAAACCTAGGCAGATTTGTTTCCTGGTGTCTGTACATCTTCTTAAACATCTACACACTCCCTGGATGGAATTCACTGGGAGATCATGATATGCTCTGGGGACCCCAGCCTTACTTGGCCAGCAGGCTCATGAGGTAGGTTGAAGTGTTGGTGTCCAGCCTCAGGGGAGGCACCGTGACGTAGGCGGCTGCATGGGACCAGTCCTGGTGGTAGTAGTGCAAGCCTGTCAGCGTAGCGTGTGCAGTGGTGGTCTCGGCCAGCACAACTTTCCCTAGAAGAGAGGTCAAAACCATAAGAAGCCACTTTACAAGTGAAGGAGCTGAAGTCAGAGAAGAAGGGTCTTGCTCAAGACCACTTAGGCATTAGATAGCATAATAGAACTCAAGTTTAGAGAGCTTCCCTATATGCCATGTTGACTTTGATGTTGTTGTTAAGTATCCTCAAGTCGGTTCTGACTCATAGCGACCCTGTATAGGATTTCTGAGGAGCAGCTGGTGAGCTTGAACCGCTGACCTTGCAGTTCAAACTGACCTTGCTGTCCAGCACATTAACCCACAGCACCACAGGGAAAAACAGAGCTGTGGGCACCAAGGTGGGCAAGCTCCAAGTGGTGGAGCAAAGAGTCTGGTGTGGCTGGAGCACAGTATGTGAAAGGTGCAGTTGGGAGGTGAGGCTTGGTAGGACAGGTCTTTCTAAGGTCATGCCATGAACAGTGTGGACTGTTACTCTGCAAACAACATGGTGCCATGTTTCCCAATAGGCAGCTACTGTTCAAGAATATCACTGGTGGTTGGGGAGACAGGAGGCCAGGCAGCAGTGCAGGTGAGACACCACAAAAGCCTTCAACAACCAGGGAAGAGGCAGAGGTGGGGTCTGAGGGCAACACAGTGTGAAAGTTGGGATGCTGATGCTTTTGCTTCTTAATTTTATCCCCAGGTATGTGACTGTGACTTTGTTTCTCCTGTTACCAGGACCTTGTACTGGGCTACCAGGAATTAGAAAGCCTTTAGATGTTACCAAGTGATCAGCAACTGGAGACATACGAGGGCCTCAGGCTTGTACAAGGGTTTCAGGCAGCTATATAGGGAAGTTGGGTCCACACATTGCTTTTCTTCAGGGCCTACTCTGGCATCCCATGAATGTCTGTTGGAATTGGTCCAGGACTCTTGTTGGTTACCAAGACGACCACCAGTAAAACCCAAGAGGCCAAAAAGATACCAATTAACAAGTTGATCTACAACTTGGAAATTTTTACCAGACCCAGGAGAGGTGATAGATACTCTGCAAAGCTGTTATACATACAAATGTGCAGAGGAAAAAATTCTGGTCCTAACAGACCTACCCCAGGCTAGTTCAGTGTGGTTCTGAGGAAGCTAACAATAGAGAGGAGGGAAAGGAAGACTGAGGAGGCTGGCCTCAGGAGCTAGGTCTCAGGGGCGTGCTACACTAGGGCCCACTGCTTTCCCACCCCCTTCACACGTGCCCTGACTGTCCACCTCCAAGGACTCACCTTGCATCTTAGCAGCAGCAATAACGTCACCGGCTGAGATGCTGGATACGTTGACTAGGTAAACTGGACAGTGAGTCTAAACACAGGAAAGACAGTGGCCAGTAGAGAGCATCATGTCCATACATTGCACAGGTACCCAAATAAGCACAGCAAAATCAGTTCTGGCACCATCATCTGCCCAGCATGACTCCAGCCCACCTCAAGATGACAGTTTTGTGCTGGTAGAGAAAGTGCAGGCACAGGTTGAAGAACTATCTGCAAGGAGGGGCAGCAGCTTCCTATACCAGAGCCCACCAAGGAGGCTCATCTGTGATAGAATGTCAGATCAGGACAGTTGAGTCTTAAACTGAGACATTCTATAATCCAACCAGAATCAGCCTTTAATCATCTCTTTGGAAAGGAGCCCTTATGGTTGCAGTGGTTAAAGCACTTGGCTGCTACCCAAAAGGTCGGTGGTTCAAACCCACTAATTGCTCCTTGGGAGAAAGATATGGCAGACTGCTTGTATAAACATTTGTAGTGTTAGAAACGCTATGGGGCAGTTCTATCTACTCTGTCCTATAGGGTCTCTAGGAGTTGGAATTGACTTGATGGCAATGGGATTGATTTGGGTTTTAAACTTTTCTGGATTATCATTATTACTTATAGTTTAAAATTGTTGTTGTTGTTGTGAAGTGCCATTGAGTCTGTTCTGACCCATAGTGACCCTGTATAGGGTTTCCAAAGTGAGATCTAGAGATCGTCATGTATTATATTCTACATTTAAGATGATGATTTCTGCCCTCTGAGAGCTGTTGTATTAGTAGACAGAGAGTGCCCTGGAAAAGCACAAAATACAAGGGGCTCAGGGCTTAGAGCCTAAGCTAGACAACACTGATCTTGTAAATCGACATCTGGATTCTAGTATTGATTGGCTTTTCCTCTGCAAGTGGTGTGACCATGGTTTGTAACTTAACTCTCTTGGCAAACGTTTGAGCTAAGAAAACAAGAAGCTTCCCTTTTGTTGTTCAGACCTTTCCTTATTCTAGGGGTAAATTTACAATAGGAAGGAATTGATAAAATACTGTCAGTATGACAATAAGTCCTTATCCAGTTGTCAGTTATAAACAGCTAATGGGAAATGGGGTCCTGGTGTGATATTGTACAATAAGCACTGGATTACTGACCATAAGGTTGGTGGTTCAAACCTACCAGCTGCTCCTTGGCAACCCTATACAGGGTTATTATGAGTTGGAACCCACTTGACATCATTTAAAAAAAAAAGAGAGAGAGAAATGTGGTTTCCCTAAATGTATTTCTGATGCCTTCTTTGCTTTATCACATTAGGAGGACAAGAGGTGTGGTGTAGAAATTGTTCTGATTCTGAGACCAGATGGACCAACAATCTCTCTGTTTTTCCTGATATTCCTAACACCACAACTCCAAGACATCCTTTGGAACCACCCAGGACTTTCTAGAGGACACATTCTCAAATGTTAACATCCACTGGAAACATCTAGAAGGATGGTTAAAGCCCAGATTGCTTTACAGTCCAGTTACTGATTCAGTGGGTCTGCATGGAGCCTGAGAATTTGTATTTCCAACAGGTACCTATTTCTAACAAGTAATGCTGATGCTATTGGTCTAGGGAGCATACTGTGAATGTTACTGTTCTAGAGGAGGTAGTACAGATGGTCTGAGTTATTCAGACCCTTAAGGCATGGTATAGAGGACGAATAAACTTTGTAAGTGCTCTATTTATGAAGTGCTTTCCCTTCCATGATTTTGAGCCTCACAACTGTCTTGAGAAAAATTGAGTAATATTATCACCCCAATTTTATAAGTAACAGAATAGTATTTCAGAGGTTAAGTGTCTTGCATATGATAGAAAAGCTTACAGTAAAAAACTAAGCCAGAACTTCTGACTCATTCCTATCACCATACTGCATCTGCAACTTGTTACCCTGAGAAGGCTTTACCTTGAACCAATGAAAAAATGATGAAACAATGAACCAGTGGCTTAAGTTTAAATTATGGTTCTCTAAGTTTAAATTATGGTCCTCTCTTAGCAGGAGAGCTATGTGGATTCATTTTACTTGCATTCACAATCAACACTCGTGGAAGCAGCAGTCAAGAAATCAAATGATGTATTGCACTGGGCAAATCTATTGCAAATGACCTCCTTTAAAGTGTTAAAGAGCAGAGATGTCACTTTGAGTACTAAAGTGAGCCTGACCAGCCAGTGTATTTTCTATCACATCATATGCATATGAAAGCTGAACAATGAATAAGGAAAACTGGAGAAGAATCAATTTATTTGAATTAAGGTGTTGGCTAAAAATATTGAATATACCATGGACTGACAGAACAAACAGATCTGTCTTGAAACAATTATAATCAGAATGTTCCTTAGAAGTGCGGATGGTGAGACTTCGTCTCACATAGTTTGGATATGTTGTCAGGAAGGACCAGTCCCTGGAAAAGGACATCATGCTTGGTAAAGTAGAGGGTTAGTGAAAAAGAGGAAGACTCTTAACAAGATGGATGGACGCAGGGACAGCACAATGGACTCAAACAGAACAACAATTATAAGGATGACACAGGACTGAGCAGTGTTTTATTCTGTTGTACATAGACTTGCTATGAGTCAGAACTGACTCACAATGTGGGAAACATTCAGCACATAGTTCTGGGGTCCTGTGAGTCAGGCATGGTGCTCACAACCAGAGTGGAATGACACACAACTATAGAGATTGGTTTTTTTGATCTCAGAGTAAAGATTGAGTTTAGGGTGAGCTGGGTCTACTTACCCTGTTTGCAATGGTGATAACACGGTGAGTGGCTTCAGCTTCCAGCTGTTAGAAACAAAGGATAGGATGAACCCAAGTTTCACTATAGCCATGCAAGGCTACACATACCCAAGAACCCACTGCATAGAAGATACTGTACAATCTGACCCAGAGCCGGAGGGGCCAACTGCATGGGTAAGGATACCAAGTTCCGACCATCTCAGCTCATGCTGAGAGCGAATCTGAGGATTTAGTAAATTGGGCATATTCTTGCTAGGTGATATTCAGGCAGCAAAGAAACATTAAACAAATAAAAACACCCCAGAGTCACATCTCTCTTGTTTTTTGATGCATTCTCTCCAAAGCCATCTCAGCACTGTATCAAAGGAGTGAAGCTGACTGATTTCAAGTTGGAATAGGGTTTGCCATCCTTGGTACTATTGACATTTTGTGTCAGGTAATTCTTTGTTGTGGGGCTGCTTTATGCATTGTGGGATGTTTAACAGCATCTCTAATCCCTATCCACTGATACCAGTCCTCATCTCTCAATGTGACAACCCAAAATATCTCTAGACATCATCACATGTTTCCAGGAGCTAAAATCACCCCTGGTTGAGAATACATGTGATTATATATATTCAAGAGCCTGGGCTAGTGAAGCCATCCTCTAAAGACAGCAGACAAAGGATAGTGATGATTCTTGTTATTACTACTACACCACAGTCAAAGTTTTGCTTTCTGTTTTATTACCTAAAAAAGTAAGTCCAGGCCTGACTCCATCCCTGCTCACTCCTGATCTTACAGGAACCCCTTAGTACAATTTACTTTGCTGAATCTGGTACATCTTTCTCTACCAATTCTGATGTGCCCAAATAGGACCTATATCGAAGGACTTGATAGATCTGGGGATAGATCTGGGGCAGGAGTGAGGTGGGTCTCCCCAGCTGACCCCACTGTAGGGTTAAGCTAGTTCCTGCTATGATGATGAGTACCTTCACCTTCCTGTCTTTTCCTTGTCTCTTGAAGCCTCCCTCATCAATTACTCATGGACATCCAACTATTCAAGGATTTGAAAAATAAACAGTGGTCTCTCCCCAGCAAACTATGAACAGGGTCATAGTGTAAGAAAGCATTAGAATAATGTGGTCCCTCAAGAATAGGGTCCTTTAGCAGGAGAGCTATGGGGATTTGTGTTGATACCTTGCAAAACTGTATCACGGCTAAAACGAGAGGGCAGAAGGATAGCATAGCTTTTAATTATCAACCTAGTGAATAAAAAGAGGGAAAAAGCAAAGATATGTGTATGTCTCTTGTTTCTGGGAGGAAGGGTCCCTACAACATGAGACACAGCTTATGGTTGGAATTCCTTCTAACATCTGATGGCTTTTTCAGTCTGCCTCTTCTCTCCTAACTCAGTTTTGAACAAAGTAACCTCTGGAGTACTGACATTCTCTTCTCCAGATCCTGGGAATCAGAATCAAATGAATGGGTCTGGTCCCCCAATTGTCTCTCCCAAGAAAGCTCAAGGCCAAGTCTACCTCCACATGGAAGAAGCTGCTTCCTGGGAAGCTTCCAGATGGGACTTTCACCAAGTAGAGAGTGATATGCAACTTAGATTTACTGATGTCTCTTCTATTCTAAAAGATGCCATGGAAGAAATTTACGAAGGAAATCTTTCTCACCTCCTCTGGACGACTGATCTCGATTCCTTCTGGGCCCGTGATACCCAAATCCAGTGCTTCCTTTGCACCCTGAATGACAGCAAAAGAAAACACTGAATCAGAGAGAGAAGAAAATTCTGAACCCAAGGGCCAGCAAATAGACAAGACACAGCCCATTCCAATAGGCTTATGGTTTTTCTCACTTCTACAGTATTCATTCTCTAAAGCAGAATAAACACAGGAAAGGAGCCCTGGTGGCACAGTGGTTAAGTGCCCAGCTGCAATCCAAAAAAGTCAGCTGTTTGAACACCACCCACCTCACTGAGAGAGAATGATATGGCAGCCTGCTTCCGTAACAATTTACAACCGTGGAAACTCTACAGGGCAGTTATACTAGCCTACAGGTTTGATAAGAGTTGGAATCAGTTTGGCAACAAAGGGTCCCTTGCAGTAAGGCTCCCCTGAGTCTCACTTTAAAATGACTCAACTTATCTTTCATCCTAAAAAATGTAGTTCAGTGATTAACTAATAGGCCTGGAATTCCTGCAGTAAAAATCTAGACAAATATCTAGTTCAGCAACCCTAAAGCAATTCTGACCCAAGTATCCTATTTAAGACTTAAGAGTACAAAGGGGCTTGTCTTTCTTAGTGCTAGTGAATAGATCTCTATACTATTTCAGTTCCTCTGAAGAGGTGCAGGAAGGTGGAAAGCTGCATTGTTATTTATTAACTATGTCAAATATCATTAAAATTACTCTTAAGAGGTGCTTCGAATTCTTCTGTTATAATGGAATTGAAATGAGCTAAATATCATTAGAAATATGACATCATTCACCAAGACTTCACAATCTTTTTGGACTGTAAAGAGAGATTTTTACAGGGAGAAGGAAAGTTTGGATTTTTCTGACCTTCTGACCAAGATTTGCATCTGCTGTGTTCACATCTCACTTATTCTTTTCCAATGTGATTTTTCTGAACCTTGCAGGACGAGGGTTGGGTGGACAGGAGCCCTCTGAGAATTGTCTCTACTACCATCCCTAATACATTCTCTACCACAGACTTGCCTCGGCCACAAGCTCTCCATTTTCAGCGTGTACTCTGGCAATCGCCCCGATGTCCTTGCAAGCATCTAAGACTTGGTAAAGCTCACTGTCTCGAAGCATATACAAGTCCTTGTAGGTCATGAACATCTGGAATGAGTTGACACCCTTCTCTCTTACCAGTGTCTCCATTTCTGCTTTCACCTGGAGAAAAAAATGCAAAGACAATATTCCCTGATTACAGATTTTCAAGAGGCTGACTGCAGATGCTGGAGGAGATGAGGCTCCAGCTCAGATGGCCAGGCTATCACTCGATACCTCACTTTGCTCCATTAAGACGAGGCCTCATAAAGACCAGGGGCGTAGACAGAAAATGGACCCAGGGGTTGAATTCGGAAATCACAGCCCAGAGCAGGAGCTGACTATTCATTCTGAGACGTCAGCTCAGTGCTGTTGGCTCCCAGCACAAAACCTCAACGACACCCAGGGCCTGACCCCTGCTTAGCCCACTGCTCAGCAGCATGGTGTCAGTAGCACCTAATGACTGGGGCTGAGCAGAAGTCAAACATCAGGAGACACCAAAGCTTGTGGTCAGAGCAAGGAGCCAGCTCTTCCTAGGCCTGGCCCCAGAACCTTCTATTGCAGACACACTTACTATGCCGATTGAAAAATTGGCGGGGAGTTGGGATGGTGGATGGAGGGATGTCTCACACATGCAGGGGAGGACCATACCCAATTGGCTCAGACCAAAAGATCCCTCAGCCTAAAAGAGCCCTTGTGGTTTCTTCCTGGATTCCATCCAGCACCGTTACCTTGGGTGCCCACCAGGTGATCCCCATGTGGAGGGCATAGTCACAGCAGACTTTGGGGTCGGCCAGACCACGGCACTTCTCATAGGCATCCACGAGGGAGGTTTCCTTGTCAGGCAGGACATGGCCGATGATCATGGTGGTACCGCCAACTAGTGCTGCCTGAGAGGGGGTGGGAGAAGGGAAGTCTCATCATGTTTCCACCTGAATTCAAGTCTCTGATTGGGAGATACAGGGTCTTCCAGGTGTAGATTCAGAACAGCCACAGAACCTACCTCACAACTACAGCCATGTTTAGCACTGTATGGAGAAGCAGCTTCTTCAGAATTGCTGTTGATGCAGTACATAGATCTGCTTCTTGCTCATCTTGGGTTTCAGCTTGGTACTTTGGGCTAATTGCTTAGTTGGTGTTTTATACCCAAGTCTAAGATCAACCTCTTTAACGTGTTTAAGGGCAAAGATGTCAGTTTGAGAACTAAGGTGTGCCTTACCCAAGCCATGGTATTTTTAATTACCTCATATGCATGTGAAAGTTGGACAATGAATAAGGAAGACCATAGAAGAACTGATACATTTGAATTACAGTGTTGGAGAAGAATGTTGAAAGTACCATGGGCTCCCAGAAGAACAAACAGGTCTGTTGGAAGAATGCTCCTTGGAGGTAAGGAGGGCAAAACTTCATCTCTTATACTTCTGATATATTATCAGGAGGGACCAGTCCTTGGAAAAGGACATTATGCTTAGTGAAGCAGAGGGTCAGTGTAAAAGAAGAAGACTCCCAATGACACGGATTGGCACTGTGGCAGCAGCAATGGGCTCAAGCATAACAACAACCGAGGATACTGAGGACCACACAGTATTTCGTTTTGTTGTGCGTAAAGTTGCTATGAGTCTGAACCAACCCAACGGCATCTAACAACAAGAAGACCAACACCTATTTTCTCTATACCCTACCTTCTGCCCCCCATGCCCAACAAATTATTTTGGGTCAACTTGAATATTTAAACCCTTAGGGATGAACATGACAAAATCAAATGCTTATTTATATTTATCAATTTAGTTACACATATATATTTGTTGTTGTGAAGTGCCACTGAGTCAGTTCTGACTCATAATAACCCTGTACAGGACTTCTGAGGAGTGACTGGTGGGTCTGAACTGCTGATCTTATGGGTACCAGTCAAGTGCTTATCCTGCAGTGCCACACCATGACTCCAATATATACTTATACCATAACTTAAGGAGTCCTGGTGTGGTACTGTGGGTTAATGTGCTGGACTGCAAAGCCATTTTAAACTACAAGGTTGGTGGTTCAAGCTTACCAACTGCTCCTCAGAAACCCTATATAGGGTTGCTATGGGTCAGAACTGACTTGATGGCACTTAACAACAACAAAATAAGGAGCCCTGGTAGCATAGTGGATTACAAGCTGGGCTGCTAACTGCAAGGTCAGTAGTTTAAATCTATCAGGACAAAGATGAGACTTTCTGCTCCTGTAAAGATTTATAGCACTGGAAACCGTATACAAGTTTCCCTATACACCACCACCACCATCAAAATGTTAATTTGGATAAATTGTTTTGTTTCATTCTCTCAGATTTCATGAAACCATTTTATTCAAACTTCTTATATGCATATTCAACATCATGTCTTTGTCATCAAGTTTTTTCCAAGCACACCATCTTCAATTTCATTGATCTTCCTTGAGATACAGCATCTTTTTGAATCTATATAAGATCAATGAAAAGTTTATTCTTTTCATAATTTCCACAATGTTTTGTTGTTTTTTGTCAAGTGCTGACCAATCAGTTCCAACTCACAGGGTTTGCAAGAAGAAGTTACGGGGTTTGAACTGCCGATCTTGCAGCTAGCAGTCCAGTGTTTAACACAGTGCCTACTTTATAAAGAATAATTTTAAAGCCTCACTTGCTATTGCAAGGTATCGTTCCAGGAATAATTACTAAACCTGTATCTGTTTCCCCATCTTTAAAAACAAAGCAAAATAACTGATCAGGTGATAAAAGCTAGCATTTACCAAAGATTGTTTCTGGCTAAGGTGTGGTCCCCAAATAAAACTATTACAATTATCAAGAGAAGCACATGATAAGAGAGACTTTGTGGGTGCTCCCTTTCTCTGATGACTAAATCTGGACAAAGCCATTCCTTCTATTTGAGACCTTACAGAGATTTGGAATGAGAGCTTTGGGTTCGAGTCCCAGCTCTGCCACCTTCTAGGTGGGTAACCCTCATCCAGGTTACTTAACCTCTCTGAAATTCAGACTCTTTACCTAGTATACACTAAACCAGGGTTGCTATGAGTAGGAACTAACTTGACAGCCCTTACCAACAACCTAGTATACAAAGAGGAAACCTTCCTGGTTGAATAGTTGTAGAAATTAAATGTCATTTATGGAATAGATGTGATAAAGTGTTGTCCTAATGAATGTTTAATTATTCAGAACCTAGCTGTTAGCCTCTGTCTTCTATAGGGGAGAGGAAAAGGCACAATGAAATTATCTTAACGGTTTCATGCTTCTCTAACTAAATCTTTGATCACAAGCCAGGAATATTGCTGGGGAATAATGAGCTGAAAAAAATTAGTTCAGTGGCCAAATAGCCATTAAAATGAAAAGTCTTGATTTTCCACGGTGACCCTAAAGTCACTGGCTGGGCCAGTGGAAATCTTACCCATATTGTCATGGGAAATGCAGGATCTGGCTTCTTGCAGATCTTAAAGTAGCCAACAGAGGGTGGTGGTTACATGGTAGTCATGTAGGAATGGTACTGGGGGCAGCAGAGAGATGGTGAGAAAGGGAAAATAGTGCAGATTGTAGCTTTACTTGTTGGCTTCTATTTCTGATTTCACTGGATTGAGCCAGCTGATTCATATACATAGCAGGTGGTTGTACTCTATTTTGTCTTAACATGTGAGCATGGGGGAGTCTGGTAGATGGAGATTTTTACACATTCAATTGTTTCATTTTTCTGTGGTTCTAGATTGCTTTCCTTTGCATCCCTTCAGAAGGTGTGGGGCCTTAAGTAGGAAAAAGGGAACTCGAAACAGCACCGTGTGATTTTAGCACAAAAGTCAGGAACATTCTCAGTATTTGTGGGCTTCAGAGAGGTCCATGGGCTAAATCCCTAAATACTTAAAAATTATAGACCAAGCTTACAATTGTTTAACAAAATAATTCTATCCTACTCTGGCAAATATATCTTTATAATGACTAAAAAGTCCAGATTTGAATTCAGAATTCTTGGACTCCTCATAGTTCTGAGCTACAATTCAGGAGCAGTTGGCCCTCAGCCCCTGGCTCTACCCTCAGCCCACCCTCAACCCTGGTGCCACCCTGCAGCCTGAAGGTCTACACTCCATCCACCTCTTGCAAAATGCTGTCCCTTGGGCCTAGTTGTGCACACCCTGGTGCCTGACCTCAGGAGAACACATACAGATTTGTGGAGAAGCACTTATGGTCAGGGAATTCCAGGGACCCAAGAGTGTGGCTTAGGAGTGCACAAGTGGGTTCAGACAGACAGGAGCCCTTGGTCCTGTAGGGAGGGGGGCACTGTCATTGGAAGGACAGAGTAGGGCCCTCTAGAGTCCAGAGTCTGGGCAGAGGCACCTCTTGCCTGGACCTAAAGATGAAAACTGATGAATCCTAGAAGGAGTGGGAACATCGGTGGATTTGACTTTCCCACTTCCTGGCTGAAATCTAGTGGAGCTGTGTCCCTCCTCTGTGCTCACCCCGCAGGGGCCTTGAAGGCATCCGATAGCAATGGATATGAGAGCATCAATATGCTGGAAAGGGGCACATAAATATCTGAAATAATGATCACTGCTGTTACCCCAGGCTCAAAACAAGAATGTAATGGGGTCAGCAAATACTTCCCCAGCTACAGACTCGAAGCCTAGACCAGACACTAACTTGTACAAGCATGTATTTCCTCCCAGGCAAGGGACATAGAGAGCTGGCTTCTTACATAAATAAATTTTTCTACCCACTGGATAGACATTGGCAAGCTCAGTTTTCACATGAATGTACTATTACAGATGTGACAGATCTTTTTAGCATCATCCCACACAAAAACAGCCTTGTAGAAATCAACAGCAGGACATGACCCAATCTTGTCCCTGGAGCCTTAAAAAGGATAATATATAATCGTGAATGTTGAGTGTTCATAACTGTCTTTATACAAAAACTGTGTTGGTTAAATAATACTGTGGAAACCCTTTAATGGAAGATATTAAAAAGGATATTCATGAAGGCTAATGGAAAATGGGTTGTGCTCTAATGAGCGAAAAAAGAAGAATTCAGATGCTTACAAGTATGTTCAAACACATGGACCTGCACACACAAAGGAAAAAAAAAATGAACAGAAACATACCAAAACATTAGCAATAGCTGCCTGTGAATGATGAGATTTTCATATATTATTCCTACTTTTCCAAAATATATTTAATAAAATATATCATTTCTTATAATGTTGTTGCTGTTGTTAAGTGTCACTGAGTTAGTTCTGACTCATAGCGATCCTGTATAGGGTTTCTGAGGAGCAACTGCTGAGTTTGAACTGCTGATCTTGAGATTCAAACAACCTTTCGGTCCAGTGCTTATCCTACAGCACCACACCAGGATTCCATTTCTTATAATTGTTTTTGTTAAATGCCGTTGAGTTAGTTCTGGCTCATAGTGACCCTATATAGGGTTTCTGAGGAGCGGCTGGTAAGCTTGAACCATCGATCTTTTTATTCAAACTGACCTTGTAGCACAGTGCATTAACCCACAGCACCACAATAAATTTGGAAGCCAAAATGACTTATAATCTAATTAAGTATGTGTATGTGGAGTCCTGGTGTAATGCTGTAGGCTAAGAGTAGTACTGAAAATCGGTTTGAACCACAAGGTTGGTGGTTCAAACTCACCACCTATTCATTGGAAATCCTATATAAGATCGCTGTGAGTTGGAACTGACTTGATGGCACTTAACAACAAATAAGAACATGTGCCCTTGAGGCATAGTGGGTTTCAAGTTGGGCTGCTAACTGCAAAGTCAGCAATTCGAATTCACCAGCCAATCCTCAGAAGAAAGATTTACAGCCTCGAAAACCCTATACAGGGTTGCTAGGAGTTGGAACCAATTCAGTGGCACACAATAACAAT